AAGAATTGCTGGAAATCAGACCAGCTGCTCATAGCTAACTCCTACAAAGTGCGCTGCCACAACAGATTTCCTGTTTACAGCGTAGCTGTCACGCTAACTACAGCTTTCGTCATCCATAATGAAGATAAACACACAAGAAAAGCATTGCTAAGCTGCGCTGCTTGACGAGACACGGACCCTGCAAGTAGGCTTCAAAAAGCCAGTCGCAGCACCCGAAAAGCACAGCAAAAGCATGCTTTTTATTATTCTTGCGCTGCAGCGGCGTGGGAAACGGTCTTTAGTTGAAAAGTGAGGCTCCGCCCTTCGCCTCAAGTGATCGACAATGGCAAGCGGCGGCGCATAATCAGCGGCAAGGTGGTCGAAGACTGCACACTTTTGGCCTTTTAGCAGACACCTCGTGCTGCTTAGACACAATTTTAAAGCATTTCCAGTTGAATCTCGACATCATTTTTTTTTAGAATAGCAGAGGTAATAATCTTATCAAAACAGGTGAAAACAAAAAATAGGTCATTTTTAAGAAATGACCCGCATCTACCCTTAAAAGTTCAAGTTTGAACATACATTTTCATAAAATATGATGACCGTCTTTGAAAGGGCCCTGCAACACTTTTTGTGCATGGTCAGAAAACGCTGCCAATCGGCAGTAGAGTCTCCCGAGAACACGCGAGCCAAATATTATAGCGCAGCATGCGGCCTGAAATTCACAATAAATTATGAAAGGCAGCTAAAAGTTTTCTCTTTTTTTGACAAATGATGGAGGAAGCTCAAAAATCGTTCGTAGAAGGCCTCGTATCAGCTATTGGTCGATTTGAACATGGTGCGCTCGGTGATTACAGGGATCGCCGCAGGAGGCCGCGACTTGTTCACGCGTGCACGCGCTATCACACTGAAAAAGCTGTGTACTCGAAGAACAAAAAAGAAAAACAGTGCTCAAGGTTTCGAGGGGCACGTGACGTATTTTATTTACCCATGCCATCCGCCCCTGCTTAGCTTCCAGTGCTTTCGTCAGGACGACGAAAAAGAGAATGTGATTGGAGCGCGCGACAAGCCTTTATAACTCCGCTTGTACTAGACGGGTGCTTGAAATTTTTGTGCCGTTGAATTTGTAAGGCAATAAGCTTTTTTAGTGAATCTATTCCAAGGTTACTTGAAAAAGTGTTTGAGGGCCCCTTCAAAGTACCCCAGAAAAAAGATTCTTAAATTTGTGGCCTAGGGCATTGAAATTTTTGCTGTTCATATAGATTTTTAGGCTGATTTCAAATTGTATGTAATCCTATTTAAAGTAAGTTGCATAGTTTTCTGTTTCAACCACAGCAATGTGTAAAAAATAGCTCTTTTTGGACATACTTTTTCTGCCACTAAACCTACATGATTATGAGCCATTCATGGCTCATATTGCACCGCATTAAGTGTAAAATGCAAATAACTAACAAGGTAATAAACAAGAAAAATTGTAATGCAGGGGTGCAACAATACAATATAGAGCAATTTTTATAGCAGCAAAATGTTACTTTTGGAGCACTAAAATACAAATTTGGAGCAGGCTACGGCAGAAAAATCATACATTTTTTATCATGAAATACCAAATTTGGAGCAGTATAACTAAGAAGGCTTACATTTTGAAAAAATATATATATACAGTGGAACTTCGATTATACGTCCCCCGGTCCTGCGACGACCCACGCTTTACAACGAATTGTCTTGGTCCCAGCAAAACCCTCATGAAACTAATGTATTGAAAACCTCAATTCTACGATGCAATTTTACGCCTGTCCCGCCTCGTACGACGCTTAGCTGGACTGTCCGAGAAAAAAAAAAAACTATGATGACGCACGCAGGCTGCCACGCAAGCACACTGCGGCGAGATGAAAAAAAGTCGGGAAACCGAGGAACCGAGTTTGTTCCTCCGCACGTTCTAGCACACTATCCGCTCTGCCACCACTGCCACCACAGGGCCTCTTCAATTTTTCGACACGCTGTCGGCCATAGCTAGCCACAGCCAACGTTGTTCAGAGCCAGCCGGAGAGCATTCATTTTGCTTAGTCGCATTGCACTGCGCACTTCTGTTGGAGCCTTTTTTTTGTTTTGTTTTCTGCCTTCTTAGTAGAGACAGCTGTGAGCAGGTAAAATGGCAGATAATTTCGAGCTCGCTTTCTAGTATGCGATAACTTTCAGTAGATTTCACGTCGTTGTACCGGACGTGTTGAACGCAGATTGTTGAGCCTGTCTACGTTTGGGACAGCCGCGGGAACCAAAACTAGCTGCTGTCTAGCTACCAGACGGCTAGACAGCAGCTAGTTCCGGTTCCGCTACCAGAGTTCGGCAACCTGGAGCTGCCTGGATCCTTCACGGACTATGTTGGTGCGACGACGACGTTGCAGTGTGCAGTGCAGTGTCGCTGGATGACATTATCGAAACTGTGCGTCCTGACACTGCGGGAACTTCCGACGAGGAAGAGATAGATGACACTACAGAGGCTAGTGCGTCCGTTCCGACGTACGCGGACGTGTTGTGCTACGTCGACAACATTCGGCGGTTTGCTTGCGCACGCGACAAGATCGGTGACTTGCTGCCAGATGTCGCAGCTATCAAAAGAAAGCTGATGCACCGTGGCTGAGCAAACTCGCAGAAAAAAATCACAGGTTTTTTTAAAAGGTGAGAATAAAGATTTGTTGACTCCTCCGATAAAATGCGTGGTTGTCATTTTTTCAAGTAATTTAATCTACCTTCATCGGAGCAGCGTAAATTTGTGCCGCGGACTTTCTTACGCATTATGTGACAACTGTTGTGGGGCAACAACGACCATCAGTGCCTATATTCTTGGTTTTTCGATTATAGGACACCTGGATTATACGAAGATTTTGCGTGGTCTCCTGAAAGTCGTATATTTGAAAGTTCCACTGTATATATGTATAAACCATTCAACATCACCTAAATCGTGCAGTGTGAACATGAGCACTGCTATTTCAATAAAATTAGTATTTTGAACCACCTCACTAAGCAAACAGTGATAAAGTCCATATTAGCATTTGCTGTGCCTGTCAAATAATTTGGCAAACTCTGCGAATTTATATATGAATCTGCCAAGCTCGTGGCCCTGAAATTTGGGTGATTCGTAAAACCAAGGAGCAGGGTTGTGAAAAAAAAAAAAGGAGTCACAGCTTCACCGCAAAGGCGAAGCAATGAACGTGATAGCAACAAATTGGAAGGTCACGCGCAGAATGGCAAACAGATTGAAACGTGCCCCAAGTTTCTCACGCACAAATAACGCATGAAACGTACTCACAACTACTGAAGAACACGAATAAGCATCTCAGTTGTTACTTCGCTGTATCTGAAAAGTGCGCTGTATCTGAAAACTGTGCAACAATTGAAGTTACCTTTGTGCGCTCAGTAACTACAAAAGAATCATTCCGATGAAAGCCAAAGGCCAGCCAAAACTTACTATCCTCCCCACACCACGAGATGAGGGCACGTGAAGGAGCATCTACCCCCTCCTCTGTGGGGCAAAATACACGTAGAAAATGAGAGCGCGCAACGACGCGGTAATGCTGAAAACACGATAGTTCCCCCCTGAGATGCCCGTCACCAACGGTAAGTGGTGGATATAAATAGCTTGCCATTCCAACATTGAGGGATGTGCTTGGCTCAGTGGTTAATGCCTCGCACTCACGTTTAAGAGGTCCCAAGTTCGATTCTGCGTGCCGCAGTCTTTTCGTTAATTTCTTTCTTGTGTTTTCATAGATATAGATACTTATACATACATATACTATGAATGACGGCGACGCCCACGTCAACGTTGCAAGAACGGCAAAGTCCAGCTGAGAATGTCCATATAATTGCTCTCACAATAAAAAACTGGCGCACAATTTAGTTGTTTTTTTTTAGGAAAGAAGAAATGTCATACACTGCTCCATATGATTGCCAGTAGCTTATTTAGACATCAGCTATTATACTGGTACTTACAATTATGTGGCATACAAACGCATGAGTAACTTAGCAAAATGTTTAGTGTCCCGTGAATAGCACTAACAGGCTCTTCCAAATCTCAATACGCTTTTCTGCAGGATACTGGTGCAGTGAAGGTGGCTTAAGCAGCATTTTCTGCCTGGGTTAGAACTAAACTCAAGAAATTTTCTAACCGCTACACCTCCCCCAACTTCCCACCTTTTTTCTTCTTTTACGGGAGGGGGGGGGGGGGCGGGAGGGGTGCTGATTTGGCTCCTTTGCAAAGCACGTTCGACCAGGTAAAGTAACAACAGCGTGCGCCCATTGGTCCGGCAACGGTACCGGATATCTATCGCCAGGACCAGGGCTAAGATGAAGCAACTAAAAAAAGAAGAAAAACACTGCATACACTTCCAGCTTTAGTTACTAACAAGCCATAGCCACGTTCTCAGGCTAGGAAATTTACATTTCCCGCGAAGCTTTGGAGGCTACAGCAATGCATTTTTGTCTTGAAGTTCTGACGACCCACCAATAGGTATTCACTGCGGTCAATGCACCGATGGGTGCGCAGCACTGTTACTTTATCTGGTCATATTTGAAGTACATTCTAGGTACTATGATTAGGGTCTGCACGCTTTTACGAATGGCGCAAACTGCAGGTGGCTGACGTGGCCTGCATTTCCTACCGAAATCAACGCACCAGAAAAATTTTGAGGCTGGCTGGGCGTTTTGGAGCAGGGTGGTGAAATTTGAGCAAAAAAAAGCTGAAATACTTGCAATACAGCACACTGTTAGCAGCGGTAGTTGACTATTTCTTAATCATTCATTTAATTACGACCCTGTTGATTTCAATAAAAAAATAAGGAAGGGCTACATATATAGACAGAAAGGAAATAAAAAAATAAGGAACATCCTTAACAAAATTTCATATATTTTGTTAAAAGTTTTCCACCCTGAATTTCTACTTGTTTATAGTTTTGTTAACCACATGCACATCTTTTTTCTCAGCTGTATGCTGAGAAGGAAATGCCAAAAAGGACAAAGCAACTTGCCTTTCATGCACGACTTTCATCATTGCTGTCAGCTTGTGCACATCTACATGAATGCTAGACAATGCCTTCTGCAGAGCAGGAATCTTCGAACTCAAGTGGGCCCTGTTGAAAAAACATGTTATACTTTCAACACCTCTCAACTGTAAAAAAGTCCTCTGCTGCTAGCAGACACTGCTGAGGCATGGTAAAAAGGACCAAAGTCAAAATACCATGTGACAACTGGTGCCACGAAAATGTCCACTCTGACTGCCTAAATTTTAAGACACGTGGCTGCATCAGAGCTAACGAACAATGCAGTGAGAACATACTACGTACTTTTATTGCTTGGTATTCTTGGAAAATTGGCATCCTGAAGTGCCAAGCATTCTGTTTACATTAACTTAATGTATCACCATTGTTAGATATTTCACTTTTAATGGCAAGGTGTTGTCTTGCAAACACTTATTAACCAAGGTTACATGCCAAGCTTAATTAAAAAATCATTCCCAATAAAAAATAATTTCCATCTTTGATAATGGGCATGCATAGACAAATCGTATACAGTGGACCCTAATTAAAGAGAACCTGAAGGAACTGAAAAAATATATTCCATTTAACAGGAGTTTTGTTTACTAAGAGATGAATGGGGGTACACAATACAAGCACGAAACCAATTATATCAGAGGCAGTTGTTCCAATTTGGCAACAGTTCCATTTAACAGATTTACGCTTTACTGAGAGTCTACTGTACAATGCACGGGCAAGTGTAACTTGTATAGCAAAAAAAAACAGCATCATCTGTTTCCTAGACTAAAAGCAAAAGCATACATTAACTGCTTCTAATAGTATTTTATACAGTGTCACAGTGCACTGGGTGTGCAAGGTTCATTGTTATGTAACCGCTAACCATTTGTGTTCTTTGTCACTTTCTGTTCTAGTCAAACTATATACAGGACGTCCTAACTATCACGCAGCATGACTTCAAAAAAGAGGAACGGTGTTACGCGAAGTAAGCCTAGTGCATATCGTTCCCCGTATACTAAAGTAGTGGCTACTAATTTTTTGGCAAATGACTATTACCTAATTATTCTAATTATACTTATAATTCGAAAAGTACTCTTTCAATTATCAAAATGTCATTGAGGCAGATGTGCATCTCTTGAAATGACACCTGTCTATGCTACATCCAATAACGTATTGAATGCGTGCTCATTTTTTGTGTGTGTGTGTGTGTGTGTGTGAATAAAGAAAGCCTACAAAATAGGAAAATAACATGTGACTGCGCTTACACCTACAAAAGGAACCAGCACCCTCAAATAATCTTAGTGGAAGCAACCGCTTTGCTTCTTTTCTGTTGCCAGAGACGTTTTGCATATTGGCAAGGGTACTACAGGTCGGGTGCCAACAACATGTTGCAGTTTTTCTGGGATTCTTTCCGCTTGATCGTAAATCGCTATCACGAATAATATCTCACGGTCAACTGTTCGCGGCCGGATCACTGTTTTGATTAGAGCGATTACAGCTCAAGTGTGTAAGAATAGGGCGTCTCGCTTCTTCAGACGTGGTGTGGCAGATAGCACGATAAGTATTTTTTTCATTCTACATTTTTTAATCGCTACTGGCTATCTAAAAGTGAGCTTGTTTGAGGGTGCTTCTTTTTGATGTAGGCAGCTGTCTAGTCACGTGTCATTTTTGGTATTTCGTGGGCTCTCTTCATCAAAAAAAAAAAAAAAATAAATGAGCATGCAAGTATGTGGCTAAAAGTAGCTCAGAAAGATGTTGTTTCAACATAGGCACATCTCCCTCATTGAAATTTTGATAATTAGACAAGCACTTTTTCAGTTACAAATATGATTGATTGATATGTGGGGTTCAACGTCCTAAAACCACCACATGATTATGAAAGACATCGTAGTGGAGGGCTCCAGAAATTTCGACCATCTGGGGTTCTTTAACCTGCACCCAAATTTGAGCCCACAGGTGTACTACAGCATTTACGCACGAGTTACAAATATGATTATGACAAATTAATTGTAATTAACAAAAATTAGTAACGGCTACTACAGAACACTGGGAACAGTACGCACTAGCTTTGCTTCTCGTAACGCCGTTCCTCTTTTTTTTGATAATTGGGACACCCTGTATGCGTGTGTGTTTGTGTGTGTGTGCGTGATTGAGTGGGTAGCATGTTATAAAAATAAACTTTCAGTTGATAGTCTGCACTTGCTCCTATCTGCTTGCCACCCTTCTTTTCTGCCACGCAGTATACCTCAATCATGAATCATCCATTGGTCCAATCATCCCCTATGATTAGTTAGCATTATGATAGAGAAAAGCTCATGTATAGAAGTGCCCATGCTTATAAGAACCGCACAAATTGAATTAGCTCATGTTCCTCTTTTAATGCACTGTGCACTACAGACAAACTCGAAACACTGAGACACACAACACGAAAATGATGAAATGCAAGCTACAATCCAACTCACTTATAACGATCCCAGATTTTGGTGCACTTTTGGTGCACTTTTGATTTTTCCTATGCTACCGATCAAAACTGAGTCCACATACAGTGAACATTTTTCAAAGCCTCTTACTTTTAAAATGAACACTTCCGACACAGTCGCGGTAAAAATATGGCGCATGCAAAGCGAAAAATATTTTAAAACAGGCATTTTAAAACATGTGATAGGCGCACACTCGAGTGTGCCCCGTTACAGATTACTTGCGCTGAAGATATTATAGACCACTGTGACCACCGCACGCAGATTTCGGACGTTGTGAGCAAGGTCGCTCACTTCTCCAGACGTCTCTTCGCCAGCAGAACGGAAGCGAGGAAAAAAAAAAAGGAAAATAAATAGGAGGTAGCATGAAGACTTGCAGTCAGCTTTCGCACGAGAAACTTTTGTGACGCAGTTCTCGGCATCTACGGCCACTGACGATTAACCAAAAATGTCTTCGAACATAAGAAGCCATAAATGCAAGAAGCGATAACTTTTGTCGCATAAAAGTTAACTGCAATGCTCAGTTCTTAACTGCAATGCTCAGACCACAATGTGCTGCAAAAGGTTTTCCACCTTTTGGTAATTACGAAGACCCGTCGATTAGTGATAGCTTCCACGCGGATGCAGTGGCGCCTTAACAGATAAGCATCAAAAAAGAGGGATGGCAATGTGGCCGGTGGCAAAGAACGTGCCATTTTGACTCATGGTCAACAACCTTATCACAGTCATCTGCATATAACTGCTCCGCAGAGTTATGGTGGTACAAGTATGTCATGCGAGGCCACTTGCGTGCGTTTCCTGCAAATTCTTTGTTGTGTTAAACGAACAAGCTACTCGTCGTATCCAGGTGAAGCATGAGCGATGAATGCACAAGCACGCGTATACATTGGACAGCAAGCGAGCTGGCATGCAACGGCGAGAGCTGAGTAATTGACGTGCTGCACGCAACTAGCCAGAGATGATTGATTCAACGTGGTTGTATTGCACTTCAGTGGAAGGGCGTTAGTTCATTGCATATGTGGTTGAATTCACTCATGAGCAAACGGCCGTCGTTTAACTCTTTCTTTACCGTGCCTATTCAAATCGATCATCGGTGATCAAAACCTTGGTTCGTCAATTTCGGCTTCTTAAACTTGTTTTTTGTGCACCCAGCACTTTCTAATAGTTAGTACAACCACTCAAATTCCAGAATCAATTTGAATTTGTTCGTTTCAACAACATAGTGATTTTTAAAAGACGCTTGCGCAAACCAATGCATGTGTGTTGTTGGAAAAATGTACTAGACTGGCGAACTTGACCAAAAGTGTGTGCCCCTCTTGATTCTGCCACAATAGTATCGACGGTCTGTAAAGAATAAAATGTTCGCAAGCCAAATATTGAATTAAAAAGCCAGCTTCGCAATTCGACAGCGTTGAGCAGTAATAATTGTTGGAAATTAAAGCCAGCTGTTTAATAAAGGGGTGTTGCTGTGAATCAGGCAGAATTTATTCTACAACAAATATTTTCGAAGGTCTGTCACATGTTTAAAGTATCGATATGGCCTTCTCAGCCATTTTACAGCTGCTTTTGTTTCCCTTATATTGTATATCAGACACAGGGTTGCATCTAATGTCACTAGTCTCTCCTATGGCAACATCACCATGTGCGCACCAGTGTTGCAGGACGAGCTTGGAGTTCGTGATGACAGAACCCCAGCTTCGAGTATTGTGGCGACGATGTTTTGTAGCCTGATACATTCACAGCCGTTCATGGGTTTGTTTTGTTTACGGCCTCAAGTTGTCTTCTTTGTTGCAAGTGCGTAGCTACTGACCTTTGTGCACAATCTTATAGCTCTTCTGGTTACATGCGAGGTGCACACTTCACTGGTGTGCGGCATGCTGGCGCCGGAGACAGAGCTTCTCTTAACGACAAGGAGGCCACCGGAGCACATCTTGGCCCTTACTACGGAGCAGCGCGAAATGCTTTAGAACTTCATGCTATATCATTCTTTTTTTAATACAATGTGCAATATGCTAACAAATATGCTTGCATGCAAAAATAAGAACGCCAAGATATGTGGAATGAGATGGCTCATGCGAACAGGTTACGCTAGACGAAATAGCAAAGTTCATTGGACATCTTTTTTATAAAGGTATTATTCACATCACGGGCATCCATCTCTATTTGAGCACCTGGAGGCTTTTACAGCAAAAAAACAAAAGTTCACTGAGAAAGGTGTACGAGTTCGCTTGTTTCTCAAGAAAAAAAACCCAAGCAATGCTTCACAGCATGGCACGAGCAACGAAGCAGCACCTTGGTTCTGATTGTCTTTGTCTATGTGAATAGAAACATTTTCCACAACATTTATTATTGTTTATATTGTTCCTGGGTCATTTATCTTTAAATTGTATATTCTGAATTTTCTTTGTTTTGAATATTTTTACATTTATACTGTTTTTCTTGCACTGTTTACCAGACTGCAACTTAACATTGCACACTTTTCACATTTTTATTCATTCTAAAATATTTCTGGTGCTCTGCAAGATATATTTTTTGGAAAGAGCATTACATTTTGTATAATTTGGTATGCTGCAATGCGTCCTGGAGTACTCTTCAAACTGGCAAAAGCAATATTACTGAGGAGGAGGAGAAAACAACTTTAATGACAATATTCCCGAGACATAAAAAATAGCCATTTTCGCACGGTAACAAAAGAGTTAACACGCAAAAAGGCCTAACTTTTCAGTGGAGGAGTTGTCCGCACTGTTTATTAAAAACCCGCAGGAAAGAAAAAAAGCCGATTTGGCCAATAGTGGACGTTTTTTGGGCAGGTCTATATACAACGAACTACTGATATAACGAGCAAATATCGCGGCACTTTAGAGTTTGATATAAACGGGTTTGACTGTACAATCAATCACTGCTGACATGTCACCCTTATTATGAAACGTGGTCAAGAAGAAATCTACATACTAACAGTCAAATTAAAATGTCTAAAAACAACAAACTGAAACTACACAAAAACCTGAAAATGAATGCACTCTAGCCCAATGCTTGATGCCTTGAAGATTTCTTCAGATGCTTTTTTTTTTCTCAGTGCAGGCAAGAACAGTAATCCTTCGCATTGTGATATACAGCAACATATTTTTCACGGCATAGCTCAATTCCCAGGTGCAAACTGCTGCTGATTTACACATCTATGCCCTCTTCACTGAGCAAACTCCTATCTGAGCACCTACAATTACGCTACTGTATGAAAGCCGGATTTTGTAAAATCACATTTTGTATGATCAATCAAGTCATTCTTGTGTTTGACAATACTTCTAATGAATAATAGTGAATAGTATGCTCAAAGGGACAGATGACAGACTAGATATTGCAAGTTATCATGCAGTAGCAGGCACATATACTACTGGCAAGGCTTCCTTTCTCTCTGCTGTCTCCTTCAATTACAATTCTATGGTAAAGTTTTCTAGCCCACTAGAAGTCAGGGCATCGAGAAATGTATGCTTTGGCTGCAGTTGCAGTAATTCTTGAGAAATTGTAGTGTTGCATCGGTACCTCGACATGCACACAAAATATGAATTTTAATTTTTTAGTGGACCTAGAAAAACTGTCTCTTAATAATATTTACCTAAAAAATCATTCTGCTCTTGGACTTGCTGTTGTATAAGGATTTCATTATTGTCTTTTGTTTCCATATTGGTCTCTAATAATCTTTCGTCACCTGCGTGCAACTGCCACTTTATTATGCCTCAAATGCTGCGAAAATTGCCTATTCCAAGGGAGGAAGTAGACTTTAGTGTTTTGGAGCAGCTTTGGTGCAATAAAATGGGGGTTTCGGAGCAGGTTCAGAGCACCAAAGGGCGTCTTTTGGAGCTATGCAAGTTGTTTTTGGAGCAACCTTTTCAGGTCAAACATGATCGTCAATCGAAATTATTTCCGGTAAAAATTTCTGGTGTGTATGCGTGTGTGTGTGCATACGTGCATGTTATCATCATTAAACATCACATCTTACAGAGAAATAACTTGGAGAAAACAAGAGATAGGCAATGCTTATCTCTTGTTTTCATGACCGCTAGATAATCACGGCGCACTTCACTTGGTGGAAGTTTGTTATCCCCACGCTAATTAGACAAGCTGCTGTGCTCATTTGTGCTCAGTATGGAGTAGAGTGGGGATAAGCAATGGACACGGCAAATCCCCGCGTACGGTACAGCGAGCCGTCCGGCAGAAACTGCATGGGCAGCATAGGCACCGCGCTGCACGCAACTAAGAGATGATAGAGTCCACGCAACCACTCTGTGTTTGAATGAAACTGTCAGTTGTTGCTTAGTATCAGATCGCAGTAGAGAAGTGCACATATGTATCGCGAAAAGCTGATAGTGCCTCTTCCATCGCTATCTCAGTTGCTGCGTATCCCGAGTCCTGCATGTAATAGATTCGAGCGCTATAAAACGCTCGTGCGAGAGTGCCAACCAAGTATCTTTTCTGCACTTCGTCACAAATGAAGAAAATACTTGCTGGTTGGTACTTTGGGCAACAACTGCTGTGGTACTGTATTTTTTTATTGGTGACGATGGCGCACGTCAGGAGATGCACATTTATACTTGTAAACGCTCACTATAACATGCCGCCTTTCCAGCTGGTACAAATTATCGAGGTTTCACTGTATTAATAGATAATTTGCAGTTACTCGTGTTGATGCCATCACTTTTGTGGGGAAACCACAGCGATAACAGTGATGAGATAAGCACTAGCAAGCCCCATGAATGAATCGAATTGCGCAACCATAATTGAACATGTGATCAAGCTTCACTGGATATGGATGCGGCCGCGTCCTTCGGGTAGCGAATGCTCGGTGTTGATCGGTCGACGATAATAATTGGTTAAATTTAGCGGTTTACGCTTACAATCGACTGTTATCGCGGAAATCACCGTTTATGCGCAGCAAGTCAGATTGGTGCAGAATGGCGCAATTGGATCAGCACTTTCACCCCTGCTATTCCTACAAAATACTCCAGCGCAAACTTTATTACATCTAAAAAATACATTAGTACTTATGAAGTTTTCTAAGGCTGATGTCACGTCAATGTGTAAAATACCTATGTTGCTGTATGCACTTGGTGTACACCTAAGTGGTCAGCCTGCATACGGCTGTAAAGTTAAACTGGTGTGCTGTGCTGCTGTGCATGCACTATATCCCTTAATACCTATTATTATATACTAGTTTTCCTTTCAGATAACGGGTGTTAAAGTGTAATAGATTCTAACGAGTTCTGAATCCCAGATGACTTCAGCTAGGATGTGGACTTTCAAACATTAAAACTGATCTCGATGGAGACAAAGAGCAATTTCACTCCTAAAGCCACTTATCAACCAAACCTTTGAATGTGTAACTATTTTTTAATAAAATTTTTAAATTTTTTAATATCTACGGCAGTTCATTCTAATGCAGTTGTTCTCCGGAATTATGCTGAAGGCTTAGCAACTGATCATGGAACTAACATCATAAATGCGGTTTTTGTGCAGTGCATAGAAGGGAGACATGAATCAAGAAAGAGTAATGCTCACTGGAAGCTGCGGAAGGCACGTGGAACATTCTGAAATGTGTGCACTGACTGGCGCACAGTGTAGGCTGCTACAGCCCACTCCCTCCTGATCTCAATACTCTTCAAATAAGTGCGATTGTCTGAGAGGCGAGTAGTGCAATAATGCAGCTGTTGAATCCATAGTGACTCTTCCTCCTTGTGACCTTCATCAGATGTGTCAATAAGGTAAAGCATCACCTCTCCCGATTCCTGCACAAAGCAACAAAACATTAGATAAGAGCGTGAGGAGAAATACAAGAGCCAGAGCTAGAAAGTGAATACAATGAAAAAATTGATGTGCGATCAATTTATATAGTTCGATACGCTAAGACACAGGGGGAACCAAGCATGTTCACTAGTAAGAATAATTACACAGTAAAAACAATTTACATGTTGTACCAACATGTATAAGTATATAGAGAAAAAGTACACTTATATACTTTAAAAGTAAATTGAGCAGGAGAGCTCAGCTTTTGAAAACCAGCACACTGTGAACGTCATAAGGGTTAAAGAAGGACCTACACAAAAATTTTGGTTTTACATTCTTTTGTTGCAACCCCCCATGGTGGTCTAGTGGCTAAGGTACTCGGGTGCTAACCCTCAGGTTGCGACATCGAGTCAGGCCCGTGGCAGCTGCATTTTTGATGGAGGCTAAAATGCTTGAAGCCCATGTTTTTAGGTTAGGGTGCACATTAAAGAACTCCCAGGTGTCGAAATTTACGAAACCCTCCACTACGGCGTCTCTCATAATCATATGGTGGCTTTGGGATGTTAAGCCCCAACAATAATAGTGATTCTTTTGCTGCAATATGTTGTTGGGTGCCTCTTAGCCATAACACGACACATCGTTTCATCGCTTGCTTTGCCGTCTAGCCTGTCAAACGCCACACAGATCTGTGACGCACTTCCACATTGCCTGCATTGTCTGCTGGTGTTCTTCCGCCTGCCACACATGCTGAGCCATCATTGTCGGCATTGTCACTGTTCTCGACCTCTGATAGCAATGCCTTACTTGAGCCTTCCACACTTTGAAAGTTTGCCATGGGAATGGACTCGCGAATAGCTGCTGAAAGTACTGTAGCCTGCTAATGCAAGCGTGGCAAAAGCCCAATGGCATCTATGACATCATCATACCAGCAGTACCAGCTTGGAGCTCGGCCACTGTCATAATGTCTTGGATGTCTTGGAAGTTGGGGGTCTCCTTCAAGTCACCCTAGATGACGCCAATGTCACGAGGTATGGCATATAGCGCTAGATCATGCATGTGAACTTCAAGATTCATATAGATTACCTTCAAAGCTATTTGTGCTGTTGAGACTTGGTAGATGATACGCGCATGCTAACAGGCATTGATGCGATAGGCTATTTTGACCATGAAATTTTAGTGTCGGAACCCCTTTAAGGGGGGACACGGGTTGTGGAGACCGAAAAATTGCGAAAAAACTCGTTTTTTTTTTTATTGCGTTTTTGAAATCTACAGCTACAAGTGCAGTTATACCGTGAATTTCATGCCTATAATATTATTTTAGCCGCAAAGACCCTTTATACGGCGCTTTCTAGCTAAGTCTGAGCCGAAATCGATGTTGAAATCGGATACTTTCCATGACGCGCCCCTGCCCTTCTATGTGTGCCAGCGCAGCCCGCTTGTTCTCATTTGAGAGAGCCGTCTTTCGCCTTTAAATTCCCGCCAGAATGGGTCTAATTCAACCATTGGCAGCTTGTAAAATGAGCAGAGTGCACGTGACTTGAGCTTGCCTCTTTATTGGTGGAGGCTCCTGCCTTCATCTGCTCCGGGTATTGAGGCGCGCGTCCATGCGTGCCATTTTGCCTCAGTGTCAGCGGAGAAGTTTCATGACGTCAAATCCTGAGCGCAAATTCCGCACGCGGCACAAGTGTGGTGCGAAAAAGGTGCGAAAGACGCTAGTCACGAATTTCAAGAAGCGCTTCGTGATACAGCAAAAACCCCGAGACCAACACTCTCCACGGCCCTTGGGGAAGTCGCCGACGCTACCATTAAAGGCATCAGTTGTCACGGAGCCTGTGCAAAGTCCGTCAGCCGCGGAGCCTTCGAGCAGCGGTCGCGTGCGTCTAGATACTATATATCGGCAGCAATCTGACTTGGAAGAGGAGCGAGCTAAAGCCGAAGATAAGTTATCGGAATTGTCGTCCGCTGCAGTGACGGAGCGGAAACACGCATTCGTGGTTGACGGCTTGACGGGCGCATTCGTGGTGATGGCCACTTATCATCACATCACGTCCAATGATGATGTGGCAAATTACACTCTGTGCCCACCTGATCCAAATTCCTGGTGCAAACAAAATGCTGCAAAGGCCAAAGGGGAGCCCATTCCCAAACATCGTTGAAAGCTGCCTCCGCATGTCTGCCAAGCCTTACTTCCAATTTATGAGCGCTCGTCAGACAGAAAGCTGTTGCAACGATGCCAGCGAGGGAAAACCCAAAATAATAACGAATGCCTGCATTCAATGATCTGGGCGTTGGCACCAAAGGAGCGGCATGCTTCGCTATTCACGGTGGAGGCAGCTGTGGCAGAAGCAGTGCTCAAGGTCAATGCAGGCAATAAAAGGCATCAGAGGACATTATGAAAGAGCTGAGCCTAAACCCCAGCTGGCAAAGCCGCAGCTGCATGGCTGAAAAGGATCCATGGTGCACGGCAGCATCAGTCAAGTGGGACAAGCAACAAAGAACATGCACCAGTCCCTGAAAAAGCGCCACACAGGGACTCATAATGAAAAGGACTACATGCCCGGTGCATACTGAACATTTTCAAGTGCAGTTATGTAAATGAACGAGTTTTATTTCTTTTTCTCAGTTTTCTGAAAACATGCTTTTTGGTGACTTTATTAGTTTGTCGGGTTGATATCTTGCAATCTAGAACAGCTAGAGCAATAATTTTTTCATTAACGTAAAACCCAATCTGTGTATTACAAAGTGCTGAGAGTAGAATTTCCATTTGCTGCCCATATAAATTTAGAAGGTATTAAATTTCTTTGTACGTGATAGCCATGACATGACTCCTCAACTTTCATCATCTGCAGAATCACTAGTTTTTTTTCAATTTGAAATCTGCTTGCAGCATTGCACTTATTGCTAATTGCACTGTCTAGCTATGCAATAATATTTACTTTTTGATAAGCCCTTTCTTTTCTATTGTCTCTGAAAACAATAGAGTGGCAGCATTGTGTATTTTCTAAATTAATTGACCTACAATGAAAATTTTTGCATATTTAAAATCAGCAAGATAAACTACATAAGCATGTATATTTTCATCATGTTTGGTCCACAAATACAGAAAATATCTCCACACACCATGTCCCCGCTTAAGACATATTCAGTAATGCATCCTAGAGCACTAAATTAAATGATCAGAAAAATATTTGGTTAATCTCAATGCCACTAGACAGCACAAGTTTGAAGACCCCATACAATGCACTTAAATACGTATGACAGAATTAATTCTGAATATTGAAGTGCAACGAAACTTTGTCTTGCCAGACTGAGGCCAAAATGAAAACCAACTCAACTTTGAGATACAGTAGACTCTCATTAAACGGAACCTGAAGGGACTGGGAAAATGTGTCAAGTTTAACAGGAGTTTCGTTTACTGAGAGGTGAAGTGGGTTGTAGCATTCAAGTATGAAACCAATCACATCAGAGGAAGCTGTTTAATTTAGGCAGCAGTTCCGTTCAACAGATTTCCGTTTACTAAGAGTCTACTATATTAGAATATTAGACTTTCAAAAACCATGCTCACTCTGACTGTAAGCCCTCAAGTGATCTGTAACACATTTAAGCACATGACACAACACAAGAAAGGCATGCAGAAGGACAAAAGAAACACTAGCACTACAATTATTTTATTAATGGTTGCTTGATTTATGTTATAAAGCTACGTGCTGCCACGTGCGTATGCGCATGAAGCTTTTCTCACTTTTTACGTGCACAAGTGCTTATAGCAACATTCCATTTTCATGATGTATGGAAATTAAGGAATTTTTTATGGAGCAAACTTTTGCACAAGGCGACATCCAAGCTTGTTTGAAAAAGGCTACTTCATTGAAGAGCACATGACCAGTGCAATGCACACATATCAATTTCCTCTTCGGTTGCTTCTGCAATAGTACACTTTCCTCATTAATTGCGACCTTTTGACAACAATGAGATGCCGGAATACACGTCCGCAGCAAATTGAAAGTTCTTAAGCACGCTTGAGCGAAGTTGGCATTTTTGTGACAGCACAGAGGTTGCATGATTATGGGTAATTCTTGGCAGTAGCGCCATGCTAAATAAGGAATATGCTAAGTAAACCTTCGCTTTCACAGTGCCATATGCTTAGCTCATAAAATTATACACAGATTTGAAAATATGTGCCAAGATTTAGAGTCTTAAATTGGGCTGGTTGGTACATACTGATTTTGAACAAAGAAACAGCACTAGAACAGGACGAAGACATGTTGATGTTAGCACCATGTTTGAGCCCTCTCATCTTCATCCTGTTCTAGCACTGTTTCTTTGTTCAAAATCTACCATGAGTCAGCCAGTGACAGCAGACTGAAACACTTGGGTCTCACAATAAGCCAATTCAGTTATTCAGCACCTCTACCGTTTGAGTAACAGTAAATAAGATAATGCTCTTCACAGACCTGGAACCGCTTATAGTGGTCTCTTATGTAGTTGACATCTGCAACTACTCCACTTTCGGTAAGAAGCAACTGGTCTGCAGGTGCCAGGTCTGTGGCATCCTTCAAGGCTAGTGACAAGCTGTCCATAATGAGTTCTTCACTGTTGAACGCAACTGATACCACGGACATTGCACCAATGCAGAACACGTGTACTGTCTGAAAAAAAAATATATATATAGAAGCTTAGATGCAGTGTCTTGTAGAACAATGACCAGGCTTGCACACATCTGGGACTGTCAGTGAACAACTGTTGTAAGACACCCATCCTACTGCAATTTATATACACCAAATGTCACTTGTAGTCAGGTATATCAACAAATAACTGCAGTAAACTACCTATGCTTCCCCAATGAATCCTGTTCCTGTATTAAATGATGCAAAATGAGCAGTAAAACTCTGCCAGGTTTACACAAGCTGGTCATGCTAGTGCAGAAAGAAAACACGCAATCTTATTGGTTGAGAGTGTAGATTTACTGCAAGCAAATTGAGAAGCCTTCAGGGCCTGCCAAAGTAAAATGCATGCCAGTATGTGCATAAGTATGGAATGAAGAGTATAAGAGAGAGTGGACAGATCTACAGTATATTTGAAATGCGCCTAGCCTTAGAAAAATTCCTTTGAGAATGACTCACAGACGCTACAAGACGGCCACATTTTTTTTACTGCTCTGCCGAATGCTCAAGAATGGGATAGAGAACCCTCAATGCTAACACACCCATTGCAAGCACTGTCGGCCGAGGCACCCCATTCATCTACATTCAACAGCACATGCACAGATGGCCACTCCCGAAAACTACATATATATGTGCATTTAAACATGGGAGTGCTAGCCAGCGCCGCCTGCTGCCATTCCAACCCTATAGAGTGGACGGATTGACAGCTTCCACAGTAGCTCAGTGGTAGAGCATTGGATGCATTATTTGAAGGTCGCAGGTTCAGATCTAGTCGGTGGCAAGTTATCTTTTCATCCACTTTTCCTTCTTCACATTTACAATACAATGATTTCTAATAACATTTTCTATACTTCTCTTGGTATCATCGTCTATAAGCTGTCATTAATATAATGTGTAACAAAGGAAACGAGCTTGTGAATTTACATTTCTTTCCTTCATAAATAGCGAAGGCCTCGTTGTGGCAGACTTGATGCCTTCAACTAGTATGTTAGGGATTATTGGTCAGCTGCCAGCTCGTAATAAGATTACGTACTACGTGACACTAACAGGCAAAAAAAGTGTTCCACACTCGCCGAAATCGCAACAAGCGGCAGTGACTGACTATCCCACGTTTAAATGCAAATAAATATAGGCCCTACGAAGTGAATGGAGGTATGACCACGATCGTAGCACAGTGGTAGAGCATCGGATGCCTTACTCAAGGATTGCAGGTTCAGATCCTGCTGGTGGCAAGTGATCTTTTCGTCTACTTTTCTTTCTTCACATTAACATTACAATTACTTTTAATAACATCTACTATACTTCTCTTTGCATCATTGCCTATTAGTTCTCATCAACCTAAAACCCGCGACACATGAAGGTGTCTGTATGAGAAAGTCAACTCCCTGAAACTTTTGACTACACGAGAATAGGTAGGCGCTACAGGATGGCACACTTATGCGAGTTCTCTGTGGGAGGGTGGTGATGGCTGTGGATGGAGTTCGCATGTTTTGTTACGTTTCAACAAACGAGGGTGCACTAGGCTGACTTCAAAGGAAGTCATTCAGGAAATAAAGATGTTATATCAAGGCTGCCGTGCATTATACGGCAGTGGTACTGGGTTCAATACAAGGATGCCTATTTCATCAACAGAAAAATTTGGAGACAGCTGCATTCACTTCGACCACAGGAAGCAAGAACACCACTTCCTTTATTACCAAATATAAGAACAGTTATCTTCATTTAAAGCTTCCATAGAACCACATGTGCCTAAACTTTAAACTTGAATGAATTTTTAAAAAGTAGGTCACTGATCAGTGTCAAAACAAAACAAAATGACCTTTCCGGTTCCTTGTTCACAGTGCAATGGCAGCTGAGCAGCAAGTTCTTAAGTAGCACTGTGCGCATGACACGAAGTCCGAGTGTACACACACGTGGTATAGTGAGCGAGACGATCTGTTGCTTGTGTTTCTCTCAATTGTTAGTCATTCGAGACTGAGCCTCGTTGTCAAATTCTTCTCCGTGGCCATAATGAACACATTGTTCTGGCTTATTTCATGATCAGCCTTCTAGGCATGCTCTACAAGTGCATGTGTCACTGTGTGGCCTTTCGCGACATAATTTTTATGTTGCTTCAAACGCCTGCAAAAATTTACGCTTTCACTAAAGAACCCCGATTCGCAGTCGACAAATGAAATCTTGTAGACCACAACAGGGTAACGTTGCTGAGGGGGAGAGATGCCTTCTAATTCAGCAAGACACCCTTAAAACTTGCTTCATGGCAAATGCATGATCTGCACACCACATTTTCTAATATGCGAGCTAAGGCTTTGCTTACACCTCGAATGTACGGAATCGCTGCACATTGATGTGTTGACGCTGTACTATCTATGGCTCGACTGTTTGACTGCTGGTTGCGTGTGACGAAGTTTGTTGTCTTCCTAATAAAATGTTTGAGATATGCATTTCAAGTAAGGTCATTTTCAATGGTATCGAGCTCCTCCTGGAGGCATCTTGCATTGGAAAAGGTGTGAATGGCACCTTCTTCTTCTTCTTTTTTTCTGTTTACACATTAGTCATTGACCTGCTTTTTAACAATGTCTTTACCTGACCGGACGGTATTCCATTGAATCTCAACTAAGTTTGAGTGAAATAGCATATGCTTTGTAAATGCTTGAGAATAAGGACTCAGAAGAACTATAACATGTCAAAGGATGGTCAAATCTATGAAAGTTCCTCAAGCTCGGCACTCGTTAGTCTTACAGTTAACAAGCAGCATGATTGTATAGTCAGTTGCGCGATGAAAAAATTTTATGACTTCAGTATTTTGAACCTGGTGCACATGATACAACACATGAGAAGCTGTACCACTAGGTATAACACATTCCTCATTTTAAATACAGGTATGAGCGTACCGAGATGAAATGGCACGAAGACAAAAAAATAATAATAAATAAAGACCGTACCGGTTGTGCCAGTAGCTTCTCAAGAAGTTCAAATACTGTTAAGCCACAATGGCAGCTCCTCTGTTCTGGTTGTGTCTCAAGTAGGATTTGAAGCCACTTTTCAATATCTTTTTTGAAAACACTGTCAAGAAACAAAGAAAACTCAAATGAACCATGCAATATATTTGATAAAAATTACATTGTTCGGCAATTGCTACCACATAGCTGTCCCTATAACTATGACAAGTACCACCAAAAGTAACAGAAACAATACAATGGAAATTACAGAAAATACAGAGGTTGTAGGATCGGCACATACTAGGGGCAGCTTTTCAATATGACAACATACATATTTGGCTACCTCTACTTACTTGGACCTGGCTAGCTGTCTGGCTTCACTACCATCAATGCACCCTATCTCACCATTTTGGGCCTGTCCAACCTGTCCAACTCAAAATTTAAACCATCATTGTAGATGAATTCAGGCTACAAGATTGGGCGAGCAAACAAGAACACAGAGAGAAAACCAAGACACTACAATGGCTGGTGTTCGTGGAATCTCGATTTCTCTTACGTCCATTTTTTCATGCCCAGTCTTTGCCCGTGCATACTTACCAACTGGCTCAGCTCTCGGCTATTGTTAATTCAAAATGGATTTTTTCGTTTCTGTGTGTCTTAATTCCTACACATAGACTAAAAAAAACTTTTCATGGTCTTGCCAGGGCAGAATTAACATGCTCACTGCACTGGTTGCCAACAGTGGGTACAGCCTGCGCTTCTCTTCAGGTGTTAGCGCAACTTCTTTGATGCATGGGGAAGCTGGAAACGAGTTTGAATAAGTGGGTCACGACATACTAAGATAATATAATGTATGGCCCACTGGTGAGCCACAATGTCTGCAAATAGAGTCGTAGAAAATGACTCTACGCTGACTGTATTATTAAAATTCGCAGTGTGCAATTACAAAGATCTGTTGGCATGCATGTTCTGCTATATATAACTTTCTAGTAAACTGTGGTGATTTATAAAGGGTTAAAACACACACAGAGACCAAAAGGAGCACATAAATATTGTGATTTGTAAACAGAGTAAAAGTATTATTACATATACCACCACTTCATAGCTCATGTTTCCAAACAATGTTTTTCATGCTCAACAATAAAAAATACTGGCGAATCTACAAAACAGTACAGTAATTGACCTACAATATTCTGCATGACAATGTTAGATCTACTGCAATGCAATCACCGCAGCATTAACTCTCAAAACAGTACCTAAGAACTCTAATTTTTTTTTTACGGGTACATAACCACTGTAAGCAGCACAAATTAGAGGGCTCTCAGCTATATATAATCTGCAAAAAAAAATTTTGCCCAGCTTCACTGACTTGATGTCGCAAAGGCTGATGAAACAGCGAAGCTTTCTCTGTCACTTTATCTCGCCTCGTTCTAAACTCAGGGGTCCAATGCAAGCCATTTACATCTAACCTCAGCTTCTCCAACTCAAAACGCTGAATCATTAGCCCTCAGCTTGGCTTCAACATCACTTCTGTGGGTACCTGGATCAGAACAGCGTTGTCGTTTACATTCAAACGCCAACACCTACCGACGCTCCTGACGGGCAGCTTCTTCTTGCGGACAGCGCACAACTTTACTCATTCAAACTAACTAACTAACTAAACTACTCAACTAAACATCTGAGAAAGACTGCCTCCCTGACTCTGTGCACATGCACTTGGTACTTGCTTTCCCTCCTCACCACTACACTGCATCTGTGCTTGCCGCTCGCCCCACTGGGACGTTCACGCTAGTTTTAGACAGCTTCATCATTTTTAGTAGACCAGAGATAAGTAGTGGGGCTTGCTCAATTTCTAAGGCACATACCCACTAGAAGCTGCGAGTTGTGTCTTGGGAAAACCTTGACCACGATCAGCTTCGCTATTAAAAAATATCCTGCAAGGTAACCCCTGCCGCATAACTTCATGGGCATGTTATGTTTACAGGTATCCACATTAAAGTGAAGTTAAAATTTCCAGCAATACTTCAATCGGACATATGTCAACCAAGAACCACTCACCTGGTCAAACAAGTTTCAGAAGGTAGAGTTTTCCAATAGCAGCGCTCTCCATTAGGTGCTATGTCTCCTCGGATATCGCCACTCTTCTTATTGTGCACTAAAGGGATCCTGAGACAAAAATCCATATAATAAGTAAAGAAATTATGCCATGACAGCATGGTCACTTCTTATGCTTCCTCATGCACCTACCACTGCGCAGGAGAAGCTGTAGGAGAAAATGGGCGCTGTCCTGTGATAGTTTCGAAGGCAAGAACGCCCAGACTCCAAATGTCCACTGCCCTAGTGTATGGCTTCTTCTCAAAGAGCTCAGGTGCCTTATCAAAAAAGCAAGCATACACTGTTAGAATATTTTCACTGAAATGTCACAAAATTGTAGAACTGGGGCAATGTACAGTTACAAGCAAGGTAATGACCAGATGATCACATAATTAACAGAAGTTTATTTGCAGAAAGTGCTACCAATTTATACCATGTACACTGTAAAATATTACTTTAACAAAATTAAAGGAGCACCCAAGGCTACTTCTTTGATAACCTTCGAGCACTTTCATCCCTTAAATCGGCTACCTAGTGAGAAAGAATGAGGGGCAGCTGCCACAAGGTACACTGAAGCCAACATTACAAGCTGAAATGAACAGCTCAAGGACCATGACAGAAATGAAACAAGCACACAAGCCAATTCATAGTTACGCCTAAGTCTATAGCACATTTTGCGGTGTATACAGTATTGCATGACCATGGCTCTGATGACCTGCTGCACATATGCAGTCAATAGCAGTCAATATACCAACCTCATGATCTTAGCTATAGCTTAGTTTTACAGAAGTGTGTCAACATGCTGTCAGAGTGATGCAACACCACTATGAACATAACATCAGGACGCATACAAATGCGCTGAACTTACATTGTACATGCTTAGCAGCTCATCACAGCACCAGTCCAGAATTAGGTGGCAAAACATTACATGGAAACCCTTCACTACAATGTGTATCTTCCATTCAGTGATGACATCGCATTACCCTCACACAAAGTGTAGCACATTCACAAACTGGCAGGCACAGGATTGCAGTAGAGGGGTCCACTGCTATCAACTGCCTTATCAGGCAAGTTGATAGCAGCAACAAGCACTGTCATATTGAGGCCCCCTAAGCCCAAAATATTCACCAAGTCTTCATAAACTGACTGCCTCAGTTTAGCTGCCGCACCGGTACACTTCCGTGTTTCACGCCAACCATTTCACTGCCGTACTGACACTCTATTCATCTCCACCGGCAGAGTAACATAAAGATGGTGAGTTCCACGTGCATTTACTATCCATCCATTACATTCTTCTGGAAACTTTTTTTTCTTGTCTGCGAGTTTGTGCAGTCTTGAATTTCATTAGCAGCTGCAGAATGCACCCAGTCATGGATATGGTTGTGTTGCATAGAGTGCCAATGCCTGCGGAAGGGTGGCTACCAGACTTGGTACACCACTACGGTGCACTTATCCATCCAAATATTTGCCACATAACTTGAGGTCACCTCCTTCGTGCGCCTCAGCAATGTGTAATCTTTTGACAGGCTTTCTTCTTTCATCTCTTCCTGTCTCTGCTTAGACGTCTCCGTTTCAGTGATAAGAGTGCTCCTTTAATTCGTGTGCTTTATAACGATGGCTCTAACCTGTGTCTTAGTTCATGTGTTTCTTTCTGCTCTGCTTTGGTGAGAATATGAATAAATAAAATCACTATTTGCTCGGAGAGTGACTGCTTGCATGAAGTGTGATGAGGAAGTCACACTCCGAGGAAATCACTATTTGCTCAGAATGTGACGCTCTGCAGCGCAGCCATGGCAAGTCAGCATGCCTCGCACGCATGCTGTTAGACAGAAGGAGAAATTCAGGAGCTCTATATTAATTCAAATCCCAAAAAATAGTTATTTATTTCATCACTACTTATTAAAAATTAATAATTTCAATCATTAGTTCATTGCTTATAATGAGTGTTACTTTTATTTCATTGATATAATTCCCTATAAAATGTTTACATGTTCTTCACAGCATCCTACTGCATTGCTAACAGAAAGTTTCTCATAGCAAGAAGAAAAAAAAAAAACGGCAATGAAGAGTTTAGAGGGCCACACCGAAGGTATCTTCACCTTATTAGATAAAAACATGAGTTTAAGAGATAAAATACATGAGATAAAAACATGACTGTAAGTGATGCACACCCCAGAATTGCATGAAAATTGAATAGCTGAACCAGATATTTGATGCTTTTTTTGCAGTATTTGATCCGAAACCATTTTGCGGTCAGTTAATTTCAACTAAATTTAGTTTTTCTGTGCATGCAGTGATGCATTTGGAAAAGCAAAGCTAGTGACTGCGAAATAATAACAGTGAGCAGCGAACAACTGTAGGTTCGCTTCTGTTCTTATGCATAAAAATCTCAAAAGGCCTTGGTTTAGTTGATATGTTTTAATTGAAACACATACACTGGTGGTGCAAAGATACAGTAGACTTTGAGAAAATGAAAATATCTTAAACAGAACTGCTGGTTGAATGGAAGAGCTGCCTGTGATATGATTGGTCTCATACCTGAATTTTGAACCCCTTTTCATCTCTAGGTGAATGTAACTCCCGCTAAACAGAACATATTTTCCTGGTCCCTTTAGGTTCCATTTATTGAGAGTCTACTGGATGCACTCAATGTCAGATTTTTTTTACTAGGTTGTTCTGACAAATTCTGCTTCAATTCATGAGACACTGCGTAACAATGGAAGTGGACATTAAACACTAGTATTAAGGTCAACATTATGGCCACACAAAGTAATAAAAAAAAAAGAAAATTGTCAGCCCCTGTTCAGACTTGAACCTAGGTCTAGGGGGAATCAGGAGTTCTAACTAAGGTACGTCGGTAAAAATCTTGTGGAAAGCAGGTGTTCTATCTCAGCTTGATGGTGCCAAAGCCACAGCTGCTATCCTCCTTTTGCTTCATTTTCAATGCTCTGGTACTGCAGACGTTTCGAGCACACTCTACGTTTAAGTCATCCTACCGAAACATAACCTGGTTCGTAGAAACAAACTCTGTTTTAAATTATTCGGCTACTGCGAAGCTCAGCAGTATTCTTCAAGGGCTTACAGTTAGATTGGGCTGTTGCAAATGAATACAAAAATTAAAATTACAAGCATAGAATGTTGTCTTGGTCTCCTTTAATGTACACTTGCACAAAATTGTAGCCATTTATTTTACAGCAAAGCTGTCTTATTCTACCCTGTGCCATCGTCATTGTCATGATAGTAGTAGCAGTAGTAGTAAACATGCAGGTCACGAGACCAGAGTTGCAGTACAGAGAAAAACAAGTAAAACAAAATTTGATACTAAATGATCATGATTATGCTCAAAATATGTAAGCACAGGTGTACTTCAAATGTTATATCAGATTTATAACCACATTACCTTGCTAGCCAATCAGGTACACTCACAATTACAGCTACACTGTCCGATAGTTTTTACAGCGTAGTGCTGAAATTTTTTTTCCAACTGAGGTCATAGCTTCTGCACACATTCACACGTCTCAAAACCCACTCACACTCATATCGAGCCACGAGTCTCAGTGTGTCGGGGGGGAGTAATACAGTCAAATCTCGATAACTTGAACTCGAAGGAGCCCGAAAATCGGTTCGAATTAAACAAAGCTAAATGGACGGAGGGCTCACCATGTAGTGGCGCATGTGCTTTGAGCTAACACACGAGAGGGAAGTTTAAGAAAATTTACATTTATTCACAAATCACAGGACATTCATCATTAATTGAAGTAATTGGTGATTCGTGTCTACACACGTTGGCCTTGCAGTGAGTCAATCAATTTCATACGCAGCTTGCAAAGCATTTTTACTTCAGCTTCAGCATTCTCCTGGCAAGAGAAGTTGCGCGTGGCAATGTCCAGCGTCGACACTCTCTAACGACGATGACAACGACTGCGTTTCCGCTGCTACTTTTAGCCATAGCGTGGCCAGCACGTGACGAGAAAGAAGGAGCGATTCCACGCAGAGAGGCAGATCGGCATTTGAGAGAACCAACACTTCAAGGCAGCTTTGTTTTTTTTTTTTCACACACGGTATTGAAAGGATTGATATGCGGGGTTTAACGTCCCAAAACCAGCATGTGATTATGAGAGACGCCGTAGTGGAGGGCTCCGGAAATTTCGACCGCCTGGGGTTCTTTAACGTGCACCCAAATCTGAGCACATGAACCTACAACATTTCCGCCTCCATCGAAAATGCAGCCGCCGCAGCCGGGATTCTGTCCCGCGACTTGCGGGTCAGCAGCCGAGTTCTTTAGCCACAAGACCACTGCGGCGGGGCTAGGTGTTGAAAAGAGAAGGGTCTCTATGTGGCAGGGACTGGAAAGGGAGAAGCGTGGCATCGGTGCGTCGCAGATCGGCATTTAAGAGAGAGCCAACACTTCGTGACAGCTTTCTTTTTTCCTCTCTCTCTCTCCGTGCACGGCGTTGAAAAGAGAAGGGTCTACGTGGCAGGAATAGAGGGAGAAGCGTGGCACAGACGTGTCACAGATCGGCATTTGAGAGAGAACCAACATTCCGCCGCAGTCTTTTTTTTCCTTTTCTTCACTTCCATATTCGCGCGCAGCGCTGAGATGTCGGAGGTGGCGCCGAGGGATCGGGCGTGGCACTGAGAGCATTTTCGGAGCGTGGCATATTCGAATTCATCGTCACAAGAGCTTGTGCATTCGAATTATTGGGCGTTTTCACTCATTGGAATACACATAGCTTTGAAGGGACCACAGCGTGAGTTCTAATTAACCAGAATTTCGAACTAAGCGTGTCCGAATTCATGAAACTCGACTGTATTTCAATGAACTTGGGTCTAAGTGAGCCCTAAGCACAAAATATATTTCTGGAGTGAGTCCGAGTGTGCTCGAACAGTAACGTTTTTGCCAACCTATGGTCCTATTTACTCATCTACAGCATTACTACAAGCTTTATGGCAGCTAACATGTATACGAATGTCTATTCACGCTTATTTAAACCATTAGCTTTCATATGCCAGCTCAGTATTTAGTCAGAAGAGGTGTGAGTAGCAAAAAAAGGACAAAGAAGTACCCTGCCTTCCTCCCACAACCTCCTCCACCAGAAGTTCTTAATAAACTATCTTGTGTGAGCCATATCATCTCATAAAGATATCCTTACATAATTGCAACCACTGATAACTCGTATTTACATGTATGAGAACAAAAAACATATTGCTACGATACTGAGGATGCGCGTGGAAGAAGAGGAGAACGAGGTTGGCACGAGCAGTGATCGGCCAGATC